TCATACAGCTGGCTACCCCTTACAGTCTCAAGGTGCAATTGTTAAATGCTTTGTGGACGGGTGTGCAGCTAAACCCTTCCCCTTCCAATGATGAGACCGAGTTCCTGTTTCACATGGAGCTTGTTTGTGTCTTGGCCTCAGCCCATCCAGAGGGTAAATCCACAAATCCAGTACCCCATCAGTTTGCATGAAAACTAGTGTTTGTGGAAGCAGATTTGTGTCCTGGCAGAAAGGTGGGAGAGGAATCCCCATTGTTAAAAACACGGATGTTTTCTTGAGCCATTTGCTGGCCTGCACTTTAGCATGCATATAAGCACCGTCAGAATGGTCCTTAGCAGAGTAACCTCTGGAGCAAGGTAGGCCTTGGCTCCTCAGGCAGAGAAGAGGGCAGGACTTTGCAGGCAAGAATCATGGGAAGAAGAGGGCTTCAGTTAACTTGCAACAGGCTTAGTTTCAGTAGGGGAGGAAGGCTAAGGGATTAAGCCCAAAGCCTGGTGGTGTACTCTGTAATATGCCTGCTGCACTCTTGTTCCATTACCCCTTCGGCGAATCTCGTCCCACAGCAGGTAATTGCTGGCATCGATTGCTGCTATTTACTGGGGGCACCGCATAATCCCACTTCAGAGTGGTAACAAAGCCGTGCTTTGTTCTGTGGCCCCTTTTCATTGGGCCAAATGCTCCTTCGTGCCATGCCTCCCTGTTGCCTCCAATTGTGACAGTTTTCTCGTCTGTTGTTCCAGCTGTTGTGAACCATTTAATATCTTCAGGCATGTCCCATCTGTGCCTCTGCTGGTGACAAACCGCGTTCCTCTTCTGTGTTTGCCTCATAAAAGTATCAATACCCTGTAAATGGCTTTTTTATTTTTTAATGCTTACAGGTTTTTGGATGCAAGCTCTCCCTTTCAGCTATTTTCAGCCCTTCCCTGTCAGCCTTAGTCGGACTCCAGGTGTTTGATCTATAGCTCAGTCTGATAAATTGCAGTCCCACTTGTGAGTGTCTGCCTGCCACATGCCCAACTTCAGTGTATCTAAAAGCATTGGATGGCTTTGCCCATTCTTGTAACCAGGATCCTTCCCTTTCTGCAGCTAGGCCCAAGAGATTTTGTTTTTCTAGGACAGTGTCCCCCCATCTGCCAGGATAAACTGCTTTTGAAACAGGGGAGAGTTTCAAAGCAGTTTTTATACAGCTTGGAGAGAGAACTACAAACGACAAAAAAGTCAGTTTTCTACTGAGGCTACAAAAGCTTTTTTATTAATGCAAAAGCCTCTCGCTGCACTTGGATTGCTGCTGTTGTCTTGAAGAAAACATCCCTTGTGGGTTTTTTTCAACAGCTCGCCTCTTCACAGTACCTCTCGGGGGGGGGGGGCAGGAGGTATAAATTCAGAGAGGTTTTTTTTTTTAAAAAAAAAAATCATTTTCTTAAGCGTTTCCAAAAAAATCAAAATACTTTTTCCAGGACCAAATGTATTCTGACAAATGTAGAGAGCGAGCCCTGGATGGGACTTCAGCCCTTTTCTTTTTTAAAAAATAATGATGGCAATTCTGCTGGGAGGTTTCACCACTGATCAGTCGTTGCAAAGGAGCTTGCGGGCCAAACAGGGAAGGTTGCTTCCTGTTCAGCTTGGTTTTGTGGACAATGTTGGTGTTTGAGCCTTTCAGAAATTCAGGGACTGAGCAACCACTTCTGCTGTTCTCTGCTTTTAACAGTATTTTGTATAGAACACTGCCGGGTGAAGCCTAGCGTTTTTATACACTCCCTTTCTCTTTGTGAATAACAGAGTTCAATAGTTTGTTTGTTTTTTGCATATTTGTTTACTTTAATAACATAATAAAGTCGATCAAATGCTAAATGTTTCCAGTGGGTGCAGTAAGTGTCTTTTTCATGCTTGATATAAACACATTTACAAGCAGGGCCCCATGAGACTTGCTTGCACCCCTCCTGCAGGGCCCTGCTAAACTTGTGGGGGAGGGGGGGTCTCACCTGCTCTGCCTGCCTGCCTGCCTCCCCATTCATTTGCTCTTTGTCAGAATCCTCCCTGCCTCATCCACCTCCCCTGGTTGCCCACCGGCTGTGCTACCACCTTGGTGACGACAGGAGGTCCTGCTCCTCCTCTTTCCTGCTGCCACCCACTTCTGGCCTGTTACGTCCACAGTTTTTGTACTTCCTCCTCCAGACTGCCTCCTCCAGTCCCACCAGTGGCTTCTGTTTCTCCTCTCCCGTCCACCTGGGCTTCCTTGGCTGTGGTGGGTGGTGGTGTGGCAGTTCCTACTCCTCTTCCCTGTCTGGCCACAGTAATACCGGGATCCAGTTGTTTGCACAGGCACATGTGGATCTGTGATCATTTTTGTTTTTTTTAATTACCCCCTTTTTAAGGTTTGTAATTTTTCTGCAAACATGAGTGTGTCCCATAAAGCTTGTAGAAGTCTCCTTTTTGCACGGCCCTGATCTGTGGATTTAAGTATTTCCAGATGGGGCCACGTTGAGGATTAGATATATTTATTTGAAACATATATATTCTGCCTTGTTTAGCAAAAGCTACAGCAGCGAGAACACAAAACAGAGGACCATCAACAGATTTAGAAACATTGCACAGGTTTAGAAGCGTGCAGCTACATCTGCTGTGACAGGTCACACTCTCCCAAATGCCTTCTTAAATAGAACTAGCTGCTGGGAACAGCTACATTGGCTGTCAGTCTGCTTCTGAGTACAATTCAAGGTGCTGGTTATGGCCTTTAAAGCCCTTCACAACCTAGGGCCCACATTTCTGAAGGACCGTCCCCTGTATCCTGTGCGCCAACTACAGTGTTCCATCGTCTGTCGCACCACTCAGGGTGGCCTGTCTGGCGTTGATGGGAGACTGGGCCTTTTTTATTTTGCCTCCTGCTCTATGGAATTGGCTCTCTGAAGTGAGGCCAGCCCCCCCGTCCCTTCAGGATGTGCTATAAGACCAACTTGTTTGTTGGGGCTTTTGAGGGGTTTAAATGACTAGCAGCCATCCTTTAAGGGGAGAGAGATAAATTTGGGGATTTATTCTGGTTTTAACTGAAAATGTTCTTTATTGTAAGCTACCTTGAACCATGAGGGAAAGGTAGGGTATAAATATTGTAATATATAAAGGTGGGAGGGGAAACACCTTGGCTCCTTACCCCTTTGCTCCACCATAG